ACCCAGGCAGGCGCTGGGATCCCGGCGGATCCCGAGCCAGCGCATCCCTGAGGGAATTGCCTCCGGAGCGGCTCAGCGGGGGAGCGGAGCCCCAGCGGGTGGCCTGGCGGCTGCTCCTGCATGACAGCTTGTGTCACCTAACGGGGACGCCTGTGTCACCCCTGAGGGACACCCCGGGCCAAAGGGCCACCAAACCCTCGGGGGCAGGACGATTCCCTCGGGAATCGCGCCCGACTCGGCCACCATCCGTAGCAGGATGGGGCCAGCCCTCGGCGATGGGCGCTCAGAGGCACCACGGGTGACACAGGCACCGTAGGTGACACAGGCCCCACGGGTGACACACATGAAACAAGCACCGCGGGTGACACAAGCGCTGCGGGTGACACAGGCGCTGCGGGTGACACGAGCAGTAGTGGCAGCTCGGCAGGTGCCCCCCGGCCCCCCCAGTCCTTACCTGGCCGCCTGCGAAGATGACGGGCGAGCTCGAGGGCTTGGGCCGGTACGGGATGGTGACGCCCTTCGGCGGGGACTGGGGACAGGCGGGGACAAGAGGTGAGACCCCGAGCGCCACCAGCACCCGCCTGGCCCTCCCGCCTCCCCCACCCGCCCTCTGGGTTGAAATCAGCCCTTTTGGGGACATGGGCTCGGCAGGAGCGCAATGACATGGAGAGAGTCCCTCTGCCCCGGCATGGGAGCAGTGAGGGGGGGACACTGCTTGGGGACAGCAGGACACTGCTCTAGGTCCCCAAGCTAGGTGTTTGGGGACACTAGTAGGGGACATAGGTCAGTCCTGGTGGAGGATGTCCCCTGTGTTGGGGGGTTTGGAGACACTGCTTGGGGACAGCAGGACACTCTGGGATGTCCCCTGTGTTGGGGACATTTGCTTGGGGACAGCAGGACACTGCTCTATGTCCCCATGCTGGGGGGTTTGGGGAGACTGGTAGGGTACAGCAGGACAGTCCTGCTGGAGGATGTCCCCTGTGTTGGGGGGTTTGGGGACACTGCTTGGGGAGTGCAAGACATTCCTGCTGGATATCCCCACACGGGGATGTTTGGGCACAAAACCCTCCTGATGGAGATGTCCCCGTGGCGGGGGGGTTTGAGGACAGCAGGACACTCCTGGTGGAGGATGTTCCCTGTGTTGGGGGTTTGGGGACACTGGTAGGAGACAGCAGGACACTCCTGCTGAATGTCCCCATGGTGGTGGTGGCGGGAGGGTGGACAGTGCTTGGGAACAAAATATTCCTGGTGGAGGACGGCCTCTGTGATGGAATTCTGGGGACACTGCAGCGGACAGCGTGAGACTCCTGGGGGATGTCCCCATGTTGGTGGGAAGGAATTGGGGACACTGTACAGGGACAGCGGGACACTCCTGGTGGAAGATGTCCCACAGAAGGGTTGAGGTTGGAAGGGACCTCTCAAGATCATCTAGTCCAACCCCCTGCTCCAGCAGAGACACCCAGACCATGTGGCAGAGGGTGGCATCCAGGCGGGTTGGGAAGATCCCCAGGGAAGGAGACTCCTCAGCCTCTCTGGACTCCCCTGTGTTGCAGGTTTGGGGACACCAGGACACTCCTGCTGGCTGTCCCCGTGGAGGGGGTCTGGGGACACCACTGGGGCCAGCAGGACACTCCTGGAGGAAGATGTTCCAATGGTGGTGATGAGACAATCCCGATGGGATGGGGACACTTCTTGGGGCCAGCAGGACAATCCCGGTGGAAGAAGATGTCCCCATGGTGTGGAGGGCTTGGGGACACTGCTGCGGCCAGCAGGACACTTGCAGTGGCCGTCTCCCTGGCAGGGTTTGGGGACAGTGTTTGGGGCCAGCAGGACAATCCTGCTGGAGGATGTCCCCATGGTGTGGAGGGGCTTGGGGACAACTTTCAGGGCCAGCGGGCCACTGGTGGTGCCATCCGCATGGAGAAGGGGTTGGGGACAGGGCTAGGGGTGCTGGCGGTGCTGTCCCCTCGGTGTGGAAGGGGTTGGGGACACGGCGGGGCCACCTCCCACCTCGAGCATGACGACGCAGATCTGCTTGACGCACTCGATGATGGACTGGGGGATGCCGGCGATGGTGATGGCGCGCTCCGTGGAGTTGGGCAGCATGTCGCCTGCCACCTGCACCTGCGCCCCCGTGCTCTGCGGGGCCACACGCGTCGGCATCCGCGCCCCACGGAGCCGCCCCATGGAGCCACCCGCCCCACGGAGCTGCCCCGCACCCCAGAGCCGCCCCACAGAGCCGCCCTGCACCCCAGAGCTGCCCGCACCAACCCCAGCCAGGATCAGCCTGTGCCCTGGGAACCCAAGTAGGGGAGTCCCAAATGGGGCAGGAATCTGTGCCCTGGAACCCAGGTCAGGGGCACTGAAGTGGGAATTGGGTGACAGCCCATTCCCCGGAACCCAAGTGGGGGGAGTCCCAAAAGCAGGAATCAGGCAGCAGCCCATTCCCTGGGGCTCCCCCACTTGGGTTCCAAAGGGGGAATTGGCTGGTGGTCTCTTCCCTGGGACCCAGGTCAGGGAGCCCTAAAGAGGAAACAGGAACCTGTTCCCTGGGACCCAGGTTGTGCCCGCAGAGCGGGCAGGATGGATCCCACAGGGATCCCGGCTCCCGGTGCCAAGTGGCAGCACCGCCTTCCCGGTGGGACACCACAGGGCTCTGCCAGCCTCGGGGGCACCTTCCCCTCCCGGGGCAGCTGGGAAGAGGCTGGGAATGGGATCCCGCAGGGACAGGAACAGGGCGGCCCTGGACCGAGCCTCAGGCAGGGAGCGCTGTGAACACGAGGCGAGCGCGAGGCCGTGCTGGCCTCGTCCTTGTCCCCATCCCAGGGCCCTGTCCCCATCCCAGGGCCTCGTCCTTGTCCCCGTGGCCGTCCCTGTGGCACCCACCTCGCGGATCTCCTTGATCTTGCAGCCCCCCTTGCCGATGAGGGAGCCGCACTGGCTGGCGGGGACCACGAGGCGCAGGGTGACCGGGGGGCGGCTGGCGGCCGTGCTGTTGGTCATGGAGCTGCTGATGTCCTGCGAGGAGGAGGAGCCACCATGGATCCCGCCCAGGGGCCGTTTGGGGGAAAAAACGGCATTCCAAGGGCCTTGAACGGCCCAAGAGGCCACTCTGGTGCTGGAGGCCACCCCAAGGGATGGGATGAGGGGATCCGAGTCGAAGCAGCCGCTCCCACATGCCAGCGGCTCCGGCACTTCCCAAAGGGAAGTAACAGTGGGAGGCAGCTCCAGGGCTGGAGCGGGAACGCTCAGAGCCTGTTGGGAAGCAGCCGGAGCGGTGGCTCTGGGCTCAACGGCCGCAGGACAGGGCACTTGGGGACACATTTGGTGGCATCAGGATGGTCCCCAAATCCAAGCGGGGCAGAGGCCATGGGGTCTGGCATCACCTGCCCGGGAAAGTGGGTACTTCCCAAAGGAATTGGAGCCGGATGAGCGTCACAACAGCAGCCACGAGGCGGCTTGAACGCCAGAATTCCAGTCATGCGGGATCAAAATCCCTGGGGAAAGTTGCCGAGATTCCCCGGAGGCAAAAAAGGAGCCAGGACGGAGGCAGCTCCGCAGGGCAGCGCCCCGGGAAGGAGAGGACAGGGGCACCCATCCTGGGCACTGTGTGGCACAGGGGAATCCATGAGGAAAATCCCAGTGGCCCTCAGGGCCTCGGGAGCTTCCCAAGGGACATTTTCCAGCCCCACAGGGTGCTCCCGGGCACCTGGTGGCATTACCACCCACACCTTGATCCCACGCAGGGAGTGGGGAAAAGGGCCTGGGCGGTGCGGGAAGCGGCCTTCCCAGGGCCGGGAATGCCGGGAATGGCGGGACGCACCTCTTCCAGTTTGTCAATGATCATGGCAAACGCTTTGAAGATGGCGTTGGTGGGGCCGGCCAGGGTGATGATCCGCTCGGGACAGTTCCCTTCGGAGATGTTGATGCGGGCGCCGCTCTGCAGGGATGGGGGGCGTGAGGGGCTCCCGTAGAGATGGCCGCACATTCCCGCTGGGATGGCAGTATTCCCACCGGGATGGCCCCCACCCTGCTCCAACCAGGATGGCCCCTCGCATTCCGGCCAGGATGGTCGCCTGCTCCCGCTGGGATGCAGCATTCCTGCTGGGATGACCCCCCCCCCCCTTCCGCCGGGATGGCCCCTCGCATTCCCGCCGGGATGGCCGCCTGCTCCGGCGGCCATCTTAGCCTGCTCCGCTTCCTGCCCCGCTCCGACTACACTTCCCAGCATGCCCCGCACCGGGGCGGGCCCGGCCGTTCCCGGCTCCTGGAATTGCTCCGGCGCCGGGCGCCCCCTCCCCAGCACTCACCTCCTCGCGCATCTTCTTCACGGACTCCCCTTTCTGCGCGGAGAGAAGGGAGAAGCGTCAGGGACGGGCGG